CCCCCCCCGCAGCCCCCCTTGCAGCCTCCTCGCAGCTTCTCGGCTGTCTGGCTATGGTTTTGAAAAGTCTGGGTCAGTTCAGTCAAAATTATCAATAGTTACCAAAGCTCTATGGTATCCTATTTTCTAGGTATATGATATGAACTTAAGGGATATTGGTTTTGGAGTTTCCTGTTAGTGTTATTATTTGTTGCAATAGAACATTGGGTATGAGGATTGGTTTCTCTTACATAATGTACCACCAGGCATATAATCTTTTGTTGGGGGTTCTCCAGAGTTCTGAATTGTTGTAGTACAGCCTTTCATTGAATCTTTATAAGTGTTATAAGCTCTGAGTCCCTCTTGACCTTTGTTTTTATATTCGCTTAGTTTGCCACCCTCCACTAGTGTGCCACATGGCGGTGCACTAAGCATTAGTGTGATTTCCAGTATTTCCAGATAATGCGGTACTACCCCATACAGTTCACTTCCCCAGTCCCATGTTGCCGGTATTCGCCAAAGCAACAATATCATACGATTAAGAGAAACCCCCACGTAACCCCTCTCCCACCAACTCACATCACAAACACTGAACCGCTGCCTCAAGAATCCCCAGCTCCATTGCACCCTCCGCACAAAGTAAATCCAGCACTGAAAGCCTCCCACTTATCCCCTACACCAAAGCTAATATCCTGCTGGAGCCTGCGGCATTTTCGAAAGAATATACTTCCTCCCGGGCTCCACCGCAGCATACCACTCCTTTGCCGGACCAATCGGGAACTCTTCATATGCATTGCCCTCCATCAGCATGGCCCATGTCTCCTCGATAAAATCATTAATCGGCATGCCAAGTAGTCTTCCGTCTTTGATGTCTGTTCATCAGTCAGCTCCCCGTATTAAAGCTTGCGGCAAACCCAAACCAAAGACAAACAGGGGAAGGAAGGGGGGGTTCGCAAACCAGGTTGAACCTCCTCATCGTGCAACTCCGTCTGCACTGACGGTGGCATTATCTCCAGCACGCGCACTCCGGTACCCTTTAAATGCAAGCGGAGACTAATAATAAATTGGTGCAGAGCAGCCTTTGTAGCGCAGTAATTCGGACACCGGGGCAGCGGGACCAGGGCTAGGCCAGAGGTGGTATACATGAGAGAAGCAGACCGCTTCTCCAGCAGGAACGGCAAGAACGCGTGTGTGAGATATATGTGCGAGGTGTAATTCGTTGTGAGCTCACTCTGTAGCAGCGGCATGGAAACAGTAGACGGCTTCGAAAAATTGAACCCCCGCTGGATACCAGAATTCAGAAACACGCAGTCCAGGTCGGGATGGTCCTTCGTCACTCTGAATGACAAAAGTAAAGTCAGCAAGGCAAGACCCCTCCCAAAGATGTTTCAGAAAAAGAGACAGAGGATTACTTCTCCACCCAGGATCCAATCTCCTCCGATCTTGTCACATCAAAGACATAATACCCCATCCTCTCCTTCCCGTACTTTCCCTCGTACCTCCCGATAAACTCCTCCAAGCGGTCCTTCCTCCGACCGACGAGAACCACTTTCCGCCCCTCGGCAAGGAACTTCTCGCTGAGGCCGTATCCGATTCCGCTAGTCGCACCGAACACGAGAATGCTTCTGTAAGTGAACTGCATTTCGGGGTGTTGTAGTTCGAGGCGGGAGGATTGCTGGCTCGAGGGATGGATTCATTGTGAATTCCGTGGTCTACTCGAGTAGACGGGGATTAGAAAATTTGTCTTCGCTGCTGGTACAGCACTAGTAATTCGCGTCCGTCGAAGGTGGATGATGAAGTCAATGTGACATCAGTGCCGGAATTATTTTGCGATGGAAGAGGCTTGGCGGGTGGGTGGAATTGGATTAAGGTGCGGCTCTTAGCGCCGCTTTCGGACCGATGGCTTGGCAAGCATAGACTCTCACGCGAACAGTCTCCGAACCGGGAAAACCCAGTGCCAGGAGCTACCATAGTTATTGCTAGACTAAGTGGCAATCCAGAGTGAGGATTCATCACAATGGAATTTCATTGCTACCCCAAGCCCTCTAACCATGCCCTAGCTCGCTCAAGAATACCCATTGTAGTATCATAGATACCCCCCTCCAGGAAAAATCACAATACCGGTATCATACTACCCAAACCGCGCAACCGCCCAAGAACGATTTGAACCTCTAGAGGCCCATCAACCTCACGGCCCCAAGACTCCCCAAAAAGCAAAAATAAGGCCCTGCTCGGCTCTCCAGAAAGACTGAGTATTTCTCACTTATCCTCAGTATTTCCCAGTGTATCAGAGCAAAATATTTAGCTAGTATTTGGCAGGTCTCATGTAGATACTCAGTATAAAAACTCAGTATTTCTATTCTCAGTATTTTTCTTTGCACCATATTCTTAGTATCATATTTGCGTTTTATGTATCATACCAGTAGCATATAGGTATTGCAGATTAAACCGTATTGTATCATAGTACTTTTCTCTGTTCAATCGTGTCCTACCTTCAATAACATTCTTATATCTCAGGAAAAAAAAAAAAACTCTGGCTATGTCGAACACCAGTACCCCTTTGAAAAATTGAGTATTTTTATTTTAAAGTACACTCTGTTTTCAACAAAAACTGTGCTTTCCATCCTACCAAACAGGGCCTAAGGTCCATCCAATCCAGATCCTCAAAACCCAACCTACTAAACCTAACCAGCAGCCACATGTGTCCCACCATCCCCCCTCTCTACTTCAACCCCTTCCCTCCATCTCTCAATATCCTTTATCTTCTTCTCACTCAAAGGCACCATTCCCTCCCCCTTCTCGCTACCTGCCCCCTGCAGTCTCCTAGCCTTAGGAACTAAAACCCAACACTCATCACAAACCTCGCGAGAGAGGAACATCCTCCCGACCCTTCTCGGCATATTATGTAGTCCTAAATGGCACAATCGCATCGTCTCCTTCGTAAAGTAGGTTGTGTGGCCGCAGTCGTTGTGGACGGCTATCAGGATGCACATTGTAGCTTGAGTCGAGCGAGTGGTTTTGTTTCCGGATTTTGAGGTGATAGCGTTGGATGGGGGAAGTGGCTAAGATGTTGTGGAGGGAGGAGATCGATTTCCCTAGACGATGGGAGACGATGGAGTTTTATGGGGGGGGGTGGAGGAGGAGAGATGAGATGGAAGATGGGATACATGATACCTAGGCGATTTTCCATTCGGTGGTTGAATGGGCGGGGACAGTCCGTAGGGAGCCAGTCGGTGCTGTAATGCTCATTGCGAGCCCCAAAAATGAGTGTCTGGCTAGATGACCATCTTTCAAGATGAGATATTATGAGCATCTCTAAGCCGTGATGCGCGAACCCGTGACTTGCCCAGGGCGATACCGTTCGCGGCCCGAAAAGGTTCTAGGATTGAGCTGGAGAGCAAACTAGTCAAGGGATTCAAGATCAGCCAAGACAGCCAAACACTTCGAATATTCCCTTTATCAAGTGCGAGCCCCTTTGAAAGAAAACAGTGATATCTCCAGTGCTCCACCGGAGCGAACAAAATTACGCATCGGATGACCCTTGTGAGCTCGTGCCATCATATTTTTCTAAATGTCCACAACTTGAACGCCCTTAGAAAGCCATTACGACCCGCCCAAGCAGTAGATTCAGGCCAAGATATCGTACTGTACATCGCCCTTTCAATCTTAAAACCTGTATCTAGAAGCTACACAACCTATCACTCGTTTTCTAATTGCTCAACTTACTAGTACCTCCCAAGAATGATCCAACCCTAGTCATCTAGTCCAATCTCAACCCACCGCCCACTAACTACTCATGAATCGGGACATGACTGTTCTGCCCATAATTTGATTCCCCGTCGCGAGCCCCCGTCGACATTCTTTGCGATTCAAGGACGAATGCGATCATACTAGGCACCATGCTACTACATCCCCAGGCAATGGCACCATATCCTCAACAGTGCAGAGGCCAACGAAACTCCAATAGACAGAAGCAACAATGTTTCAAACAACACAGTGTCACATTACCCCACCGGATAGTTCACAAAATTTCATAAGAAACCTCAGGAAACCGACGATAAATCTTCAGCGTCTTTTTTCCCGGGGCTAACATAACCCTTCCACCTCTCTGCGCTACCTTCGCTCACAAAATCCCGGGGCGAGTAACAGCTTTTGCAGTGGAACAGTGAGCGGATTCACACCGGACCTTGGGAATGTGCAAGCTATTACCAGAAACATCTCTCCACCTTACCCAGATTATCCTCCAGTCACTCCCAAAACGACCCTAACGGTGAAAGGCAAGAATACTCGTGGAACATAATAAGGACATCCTGACCCTTCCGTTGGTAACAACACCCGTCTCCACCCCACGCACACTCCCGCGATAACAAAGGGAAGACAGGTCTAGAGAACCTTCTCCGTAATCACTAAAGCCCCAGAACGATACATCGCACTCCCAAGCGATCTGCCAGGCTCCCGCGACTTTCAGCATCAACCGCAGCATCTTATCACCCTTCTACTCCCTCCAGCGCATTTAGTGAAAGTCCGAGAATGTAGCTACCAGAGACCAGACTAGAATCCTTTCTCTTTTCCCTCTTGTGGGTATTCTACCTTGTTCTATATAGACTGGCAGCTGGCGATATACCAACAGCGGGTAGGGTAAGGCTTACCCCCGTATATCCCCGGGGATGCACACAATTCTAAGGTTCCGAAAGGGCATCCAATAAATATATATCTCCCTATTGTGCAAAAAGGCTCCAAATTGGGGGACGGGAGCTTTTTCACGCGAGTGATTCCGTATGATGGGATTCCGGGAGTCAGCCTGCCCTCATTCAATCGGACCTATCATCTGCCCGTTACACCCAACCCCTTCAATTCATATCCAGAATAAGGGAAAGAGAACGAGTGATGAAAAAAATATATATAAAATAAAATAAAAAAACTAATAAGGGAATCTTGGGACGATCCCCACGACCATTCCCGATTTGCTCTTGTTTGTATCCCCCGTGAGCCCAGCGAGTTCGAGCCCGGGGCCTAACCAGGAACTTCCTGGATTGAAATCGTACACCAACCGCTTTAGTGCTTTCACTCGTATCTGGTATGGCGGTCCCAGGATAACCATACCTTCACCGTCAATCACTCAAGTTACTACGGTATACTTCATCTTTCCGTTAGTCAAACAAGGTATACCGTTCCACCGCCGCTTCTACCTCCTATCCCGATCACTCGTCTCCTCTCGCTTGACAGCGTTGTCCGTAGTCCCGACGGTAAGGAAACAAATGCTCCCATACCTTAATGGCTAGCTTGTAGAGAGAGTTGCAGCTCCCAACCCTCCCCATCCCATCAGCTCAGTGGTATGCCATTTTTGGGCACCAACATGACGTGACCCTAGGGAAGAAAAAAAGATCCCATTCATCAACGGAAAGTGAGAGATACTTCTAGGTTGTGATTTCTAGTGGAGTTGACTGTATTACTCTTGTGTGCAGGTATCTCCTACGGTAAGTAGCGCTGTTACGTATCCAGAGTCTGGACGATAATTTACCTTCCGCTGCCCGGGAGAGCTTAGGGACAAACCTCAGCGGAAGAGTGAAAGCAGGAGATTCGTGTCCCCCAAACACCCCGCTCCGATCCCCCGTAATCCCTCCTCAGTTCCCGGGCACACGCACACACAGTTTCATGCAAGTCAGATCGCCCTCCAAGTTACAGAATGAGAAAAAGAAAAGGAGAAGAAGAAAAGAAAAGGGCCGAAGTGGAATTCCAAATACTTCCTCCTGTCTAGCACAGTTTACCAGTCATTTGGGACATATCAGAAATCCCAGGAGGGCTGAATGGAGCAAGGCTCAATTGCAGAAGAAAAAAAAAAAGAAAAAAGGAATCGAGTAAGAACTGCTTATTTCCCAGCCCATACATGGAAAGAGGGCGAGGTCAAGCTTTCAGATCCTAACACCGCCAAAATGATCGCGGCAGGGATCGAACCTGCAATCTCTTGATTCGTAGTCAAGCGCCTTGCCATTGGGCCACGCGACCAATAGTGGATAGTCTTCTTCTATTTGTAATTCAACGCACAAGTATCAAAAGTTCCAGGGAGCCCATCAAGCATCTTGTCCCCGAGTTGCAGGCTTACTCGTACTTGTACTGTACTATACGGAATTACTAACCGGGAAGGAAAAGTGATGTCACCCACAAATGCGCGGAGCACAGAAAAGAAACAGCCTCCGCTACCTGAATCGGCGATGTCAGATGAATTACTGAACCACCGCCACACGTGGTAACACAAATTCCATTGGGCGCCCTACGAATTCTGCCCACCACCATCCAGCGGGACAAGTTAAGCGTCCGACAAGCTATCCAATAGGAAAACGTCCATGCAGTACCGGTAGTCGAATTGGATGACAATGGACAGACAGTCGGACACCTTTTCTCAAACCCTGCAGTACGGTGCTGGTGCGATACGAGTATATATATAGAAAACCTACTACCCAACGAGCATTTCACGATATCACAATAATGATCCCTGAGTTTTTTTTTTTGCCTCTCCACCGACCGACACATCTCACCACCGCGAAACCACGCACCACCGACTAAAAGCGCAACCCAAAAGCGAGCTCCCGACATGTCGTGCGGTGGCCACTCACGAAGCACACAATTACTACTGGGCGGAATAATGCAGCGACGATTCGTCAGGATCAATTCTTCTCGGAGGCCACGTACCACCCGGGAGGAAGCCTGATAGTGTACAAATTCCGGAAAGAAGTTATGGAACAGTTATATGAGGTTGAGCAGCCAAATATATCCCTGTCTGTTCCGGTTAATAGATTCCTGCCCTTGTAAACCCATCCAATCCTCTCTATTCCTGATTACTCAATCGCATGATTGCCATATGATATGATACCAGCCTAAGATCAAGCATCCCGACCAATTTAGGCACCGACTGGGCACACGGAGACTATCATCTGCTATCACTCACTCCTCCTGTCAGTGGGCCACATACCGAAGTATCTTAAAGCGGTAGTCTCAGGCCAATTTGGGTTAAAAATTAGAGCCGAGTTGGACCCCACCAAGTGCTCGAGTAGACATACCAGACAACAACACTCTCGCTGGTGAGACCAGTCAGTAGACCGATTCCCAAGATCTAGATGGCAAAATTTTAGCAACGCATCTAGAAACGCCCTCCTAAAAGCTTCGAATGATGTGACGTCCCGCCGGAGAACTTTGAGAATCGATATGGAAGTGCAAGGAAGAAAAGGGCAAAAAAAAAAAAAAGCTTCCCCACCTACAGCCCCTCACCCCACAGCTACACCCGCCAAAATATCGACGAGTAGGAATAAGGTTTGGGAAGCCCGATTCACGTGTTCTAAATTTGAACATTCGATCCGCACGAGAAATCAATGCAAGTCCAGGCTGTTGTGAGAGAACGCTGAAGCCAGAACAGGCGAGCGTTCGTTCGGGCAACATCAGTGATGGCACTGTTACCCTGCCAAGAGTAGACCTAAAACAGGTTAGTTCTTTGACAGATGTTTACCGTACCGTACAATACTATCACACATTTGCCAAGGAAGTCAACATTAACTAATATCTCCCTAACAAGCTCCCACGATTATAAAAACTAAGCGACCTTTCGACTCCAATGCCCCTGCAGAGGCTTGAGACATCCTCGTTTTCCTTCTATCAATGTGCAGTGAACTACTCACTCTATCATCTACGCAATCCAACAATTTTTCCCAGGCCAGAGATGCACCATACCATAGCCCAATTGTGTTTGCAATATCAGCGCCAGGACTTGTCACTACCGTACGGTATGTGGGTTGCCGTCTCCGTCGTTTCCCTCCCCCTTCCTGTCAACATCAGCACAACCCCGCATCCCCAGGCTCCAGCCATTGCACAGCATAATTAAATACTGTTTGCTAAAGCATACGGCAGTATCACAGGACGTCGCATATCCGCTTCCGTTCTTGTCCTACCGCACTGCCCTCCCCCCCTATAGAAGCTGACCTCGCCCCCTCCCGCCACTCAC